AGCTTTCCTCGGGCAATTGATATGTCCAGAAATCAGTTTGAAGGTACCATTCCAATAGAATATTTCAATTCTTATGGGCTTGAATTTTTAGATCTTTCTGAAAACAATCTGTCTGGGTCTTTGCCGTTGGGCTTCCATGCATCAGATTTACGCTATGTCCACCTTTACAGAAATCAATTGAGCGGTCCACTACCATATGCTTTTTGTAATCTCTCTTCGTTGGTTATATTTGATCTCGGCGATAACAACTTAACTGGGCCCATTCCAAATTGGATTGATAGCCTTTCGGAATTGAGCATTTTTGTTCTCAAATCTAATCAATTCAATGGGAAACTTCCTCATCAGTTATGCTTGTTAAGGAAATTAAGCATATTGGATCTTTCAGAAAATAATTTTTCTGGTCTGTTACCCTCATGTTTGAGCAGTTTAAATTTTACGGCATCAGATGAAAAATCTCTGGCCCCCAGCGGCGGGGCGTCACAAGATGGTGGAATCGAGGAAGAAATATCTGCATCCATAGGGGTAAGAGACTTGGAGAACGAAGGTTTTAATCGTTATGACAAAACTTTGTGGCCAGAGATTGACGTAAAAATAGCTGTAGAGCTTACAGCAAAGAAAAATTTCTACACTTACGAAGGCGATATCCTTCGTTACATGTCTGTTATGGATCTTTCTTGTAACAGATTCACTGGAGAAATCCCGACAGAATGGGGAAACTTAAGTGGGATATATTCTCTAAATCTGTCACAAAATAATCTCACTGGATTGATCCCTCCATCTTTCTCTAATCTGAAGCAGATAGAGAGCTTGGATCTCTCTCACAACAACTTGAATGGGAGAATTCCTGCACAACTCGTTGAACTGACCTTTCTATCTGTTTTCAACGTGTCGTACAATAATTTGTCAGGAAGAACACCGGAGATGAAAAATCAATTTGGTACCTTTGATGAAAGCAGTTATAAAGGGAATCCTCTTCTTTGTGGACTTCCATTGCAAAACAGCTGCGACAAAACAGAATCACCATCAGCGAGAGTGCCTAACGATTTCAATGGAGATGGTGGCTTCATAGACATGGACACTTTCTATGCCAGCTTTGGTGCGTGTTACATAACTGTGGTGTTGACAATTGCAGCAGTACTGTGCATAATTCCGCATTGGCGACGCAGGTGGTTTTACTTCATTGAAGAATGCATCGACACTTGCTACTGCTTTTTGGCTATAAACTTTCCCAAGTTGTCCAGATTCAGAAGGTGATTGG